AACCCAGCTTTTCTGGGCGTCTCTGTGTTGTCTTCATTCCCTCAACACCCCAGTCAGGTCGCAGTCCCTGGGGCTGTGCAAGGATGTGGTGTTCTTGAAACCAGAGCCATAGAAAGCCTGTGGCCTCTCTGAGGGGATCCTGCATCCTTTGTCCAGTGACAGCGTGGAAACTGGGTTGTAGCGTTTCGGATGCTAGAAAAAGAAACCCAAGAGAGACCCAAGTTCCAGCGGTGTTCTCCAGAGACCCAATCCTAACAGCCCGTAGGAGTTTCCTAGCGAAGGAAAACTTGTGTGAAAATTGGACTCAGGCAATCAGCATCAGTTATGTGTCAGAAACATGAATAGTTTGAGAATGCTTGTTCCCCAAACCTCACCGATTCCAGTAAGATTATGCTTTTGATTGGCTGAATTCCAATGAGAAGCATAGGACACTTGGTACCACTAGTTAGAGAGGTAGTTTATGCAGTGTGTGTGGTATGCATGATTGTGTGTGTGTGTGTGTGTGTGTGTGAGCTGGCACAAGATTAAATATGTGCATAGGATGTAGTGGCATTTCATTTGTATTTTAATAAATAAAGCTTGCCTGGAGATCAGAGAGTAAAACAGCCCCACTAGTCAGCCTTACACATGAGGCAGTAGTAGCATACACCTTTAATCCCAGTAGCCACATTAGTTTGTTGCCATAGAAACTGGGCTGTGCATGCCTTTAATCCCAGAACTAGAAAGGATTATAAAATGGAAGGAGACAATTCTCAGGCTCAGTTTTATTCTGAGATTTCTGAAGGCAGAATCGCCATTTTTGGACTGAGTTTGAGGTAAGAGCTGGCTGATTTGCTTTTCTGACCTTCAGGTTGAATCCTAATTTCTCTCTCTGATTTTTTTATTAATTGCGCATCAATTCTTGTAAACGGAGACTGCGCTTTTGTTTTCTGAATGCCCAGACCCGAATAATCCCAACACTGTTTGGCCAATGGCTCAGGCATATGTCTAGCTAGTTCTTGAATCTTAAATTAACCCATTTCTACTAATCTATATATTGTTACAAGGTTGTGGGTTACTGGTAAGGTTCTGCTGTCCTTAGGCAACTACATGGCATCTGCCTGACTCTGCCTTCTTTCCTCCTCACCTTGCTATATTCTGCCCTGCCGTAGGCCAGCAGCTTCTTTATTAACCAATGGTAATAAAACGTATTCACAGCATACAGAGGGGAATCCCACCTCAATAGAATTTATAATTATGTTTATATATAAAATATATACAATAGCAAAATTTTAAAATGGGTTTGGAGTTTTGAAGTAGTCCCCATCAAATTTGAAAAAAAAAAAAGAAATATTCAAAGTGGTTACAACACTATTTAGCAAACACTGCATACGGTTGAGTGGGAACCTGCAGGTCACATTACAGCTAGTGCGTTTCCAGACTCTAAACTCCAGAATGAGGCAGGCGTTGTATAGGGCATGCAATGGGAAGAACGTTTCCTAAGGAGATGTGGAAGATGCTGCCCTAGGAAAGCTGGGAAAAGGACAGAGACGAGCCTAGCAAAGCTCAGCGTTCCTTCAGATTTGCTGTCCAACTATTTTCTCCGGTGCGCGAAGAAGGGGAGGAGGGCTCGGAATGAGTTGCAGTGGAGGAAAATCTCCCATGTCCTCCTTTGAATAAAAAGTCATTGTGTGGACAGCATTTCCTTGTTTGGACAAAAAACAAAAAAAACCCAATGAGAAAAAAAGAAGGCAAAGAAATTGTCACGGGAAAGGTCACTTATTAGGATTTCTGAAATGGGAGGCTCTGAATAAATCGTTAAGAAGCAGGGCACTGGCTTCCCATCACTCTGACAAAATATTTGGGAACAGTCTGAGAGGAGGGAAGATATTTTGGCTCATCGTTTCTGAAGCTTCAGTGGGTGGTTACTAACAGCATTGCTTCAGGCCTTTGGTAGAGCATTATGGCTGCCAGGGTGTGTGCCAGATGAAGCGGCTTGCTTAGGGCAGCTAAAGGTGCAAAGGTGGGGGCATATGCTAAGGAGTGGTATAGCTGGGTCATGTGGTTTATTTTCACCTCTTTGAAAATTCTCTACACTGATTTTCATAATGGCTGCCCCAGTTCCCATCCCAGCAAAAGCGAACGAGGGCTCTCTTTTCCTCCACATCATCGCCAGCATTTATTCCTGGTGGCTTTGTTGATCTTTGCCATTCTGACTGGGGTGAGATCAAATCTCAAAGTTGTTTTGAGTTGCATTTCTCTAACTACAATGATGAACATTCTTAAAATTATTTCTAAGCCATTTCTTTTCTTCATTTGAGGACTCTATGTGCATGTTCCAGGTCCGTTTTTTGAGTGGGTCATCAGTTTTATTCATTCCTTGTCTTTTGAACTCTTCATATACCCTTGATATAATTCTCTGTCAGGTGTTCAGTAGGCCAAGATTTTAACCCATTCTCTGGGCTTCCTCTTCACTCTGTTGGTTGTTTCTTTAGCAGCGCAGAAGCTTTTTAGTTTTATCAAGTACTACTTGTTGATCATTGGCCTTAATTTTTAGGCAAACGGAGTCCTATTCAGAAAGTGCTTTCCCACAACTGTATCATGTTGGGTACCGCCTGTAGTTTCTTCTAGCAGTTTCATTGTTTTAGATTCTAGGTGTAAGTGTTTGGTCAGTTGGTGTTTGTTTTGTGAAGGTTCACAGATACAGGTTTAATCTCACTCCTCTGTGTGTGGATAGACATCCAGTTTTCCTACACCAGTTGTCGATGATGCTTTCTTCTCTCCAGCATATGTTTCTGGCATCTTTTCAAATGTTAATGGCTGAAGTTATATGTGTATTCATTTTTGGGTCTTCAGGTTTGTTCTACTGATCTACTGTTTCATTGTTCCAATGCTCTATTGTTTTTATGACTATGTCTAAACACAGTCTTATTTATAGTTTCTATTGCGGTGATAAACACCATAACCAAAGAGCAACAACAAAAAACCCAACAACTTGGAGAGGAGAACGTGTTTTGATTTGTACTTCCCTACAGACCAGGCCTCTGGCTTCAGATGACATTAGTTCTCTGTTGCTGAGTTGGCAGGAGTGGAGGGCTGTGGGTTGTTTTTCTACTTTGATAAAAGATCTTTCTGCCAGGGAAGGCTTTTGTTTGTTTGTTTGTTTTTCTTGGGGGAGGGGCTTCAAGACAGGGTCTCTCTGTGGAACAGTCCCAGCTGTCCTGGAACTAGTTCTTGTAGACCAGGCTGGCCTTGAACTCACAGAAATCCACCTGCCTCTGTCTTAGGAGTGCTGGGATTAAAGGCATGTGCCACCACCACCCAGCATGCCAAGGAAGTTTTTAAGGTCTGGGAACAATGTTGAAAAAGTTCTATTAGACAGCAAAAAGAAATTGAAAGCATCCCTTTGATGGGCTGTCAGCCAAACAAAGGGAGTTAGTTATCAGGTAATTTCCAAACGGGGTCCCATGGGCTGGAGTTGTAGATCAGTGGCGGAGTGCTTGCCTAGCAAGCCAGAAGCCCTGAGTGCAGTCCCCAGGGCTGCCAAACCCGAAACAAAATAAAAACGTAGTGAACTCAAGAAGCATGTCTTTGATGATTAGGAGGCATCAAATAATAAATCAAGTAATAAAGAATAGTTAGTGGCCAAAAGAATGTAGGTAATAATGTCTTTTATTCTTTTGCTAGAACATGTCCACGAATCTGTAATTCAAAAATTTTGCAGCCTGATATATTTTGGAAATCAGATCATTATGGATTTAGGAAAAAGATAGAATGTATTATACACTCCTAAAAGTATCTGGGGACCATGGTCATAGATCAGCAACGAAACATGTATTTGTAATAACTGCGGTGAGTTAAAGAGTAGGAATAATTGGTCAGTCTGGTTCAGTTCTTCATGCTTATGACTGGTTTTATGTATTCCGAGTGCTTTGTGGTTCTGAGAATTTCAGATAAAGGACTGAGGGGAAGTATAATTTTTTGTTATTATTAATTATTAGAGACAGTGTCTTACTGTGTAGCTCTGACTGGCCTTGAGCTGGCTATGCAGACCAAACTGACTTCCTGAGATCTTCCTGCTGAGTGCTGGGATTAAAGATGTGTCAGTACAGCCGACCGGATTGATGTGATGCTTTAATTTGGACACATTTCTTAGGGTCAGCTGCAATTGTTATTTGAAAACTATGTTCACAGAAAAGCCCCCCAATGCGTAATTCTAGTTTTTCTCCTTCTCACCTTACAACACGAACTGTCAAAGTGTGTTTGTGTTGCACGGGTTGAAGGAAGCTACCAGGAGAAAGCAGGGAAACTGCAGGGAGATACTGCTCTGCACACACCGGCAGGAGCAGAAGTCACGAGACGGTGCAGGGCTCTCTAGGCCTCTCTCTCGCATCAGAACCCCAAGAACACTGAGGCTGCAGAGACCACTGGCTTCCCACCCAGGACCACGAGGAAACTCCTGAAGCCAGAGGGACCTGAGCACTTCACACGTCAGTTCAGCGTTATCCTCCAGCAGTACCCTCTTCTTAGTTTGTATTCTTTAATGTCCATTTTGCTTTTTTTAATGATGATTTTGCTTTTGTTTATATATTGCTCAGTTACACTTTAGGGGGGTTTTGTTTTTGTTTTTGTACTATACTTTTCAGCCACATCTCTTTTTATTTATTTATTTATTTGTTTATTTTGCTTTTCGAGACAGGGTTTCTCTGTGGTTTTGGAGCCTGTCCTGGAACTAGCTCTGTAGACCAGGCTAGCCTCGAACTCACAGAGATCCGCCTGCCTCTGCCTCCCAGTGCTGGGATTAAAGGCGTGCGCCACCACCGCCAGGCTTAGCCACATCTCTTTTAACCCCTTCTTGTCCATACATCTTTTTCTTGTCCTTTTCGTTGCCACTTTTGCTATGTAATTAAAATCTCCACAGCTTTAGCAATCTCTAAAATTTGTGGAGTAACCCTCTCCTAATTCTCCTCCTAGCTACTCTATAGCCTTGACATCAGAATCCTGTTGCGTTCCTGGAGTTTTTCAGATGTTAAGTCATTGGGTAATTACAGCAGCAGCCCAGGTGAGTCCTCCCTTCTTCTCTAAGGAGGTCTTCCCCTTCGTGGAAGTGGGTGTGTTTCCTGATTCTGCTTCCTGCCATGTTGTCCCTTCCTCTGAAGCTCAAACACTGAGATTTGCTGGTTTTTTTTATCAAACTCTTTTGTTTAATTATAAGTAGTTAATTAAAAGTGTTTCTCTCTGTTCTCCTAACCCTACTCACATCCCTCCTTTAACACTGCCACCCACTGTAATGGTGGTTGTGTGTCATTGAGCCTGTGTCTATCCTATAAACTCTACTATCTGCAAAAAATGTAATGTATAAAAACCAATCGCTTTGGAAACACTGTTATTGAAAATTATTGGGCTGTTTTTTATTCTTTTTCAGAAACGATGTCTTGGAAACTGATCTTTTATTACCATTGAGGACGGAGATCTTAATAAATCTGTAAGAGTGTGAGATTGAGCAATGGTCTTGAAAAACCAGCAGATGTAGCTGCCCTTTGGCATAAAGAGGTCAGGAAGCACACTAATCACTTTCACATATTGAGAAGCCGTGGCTTTGCCTTAACCCTGACTGACCACATGGGGGCGCTCTAAGCCTTTTCTGTATAGCTTAGTTGCCTGTCCTAGCACACACTCAGCATCTGTGCCTGTCATTGCCTCGTTTTCCGACCAATGGCCCTGTTCTGACAGCATCATCAAACCCGGTGGTCTGAGATAGACCTTGTCACCAAAATCTCTGTCAATTTAGAGCAGATAGCATTACAAGGTTATCTTGTGAGAACTGTTTGTAACTGGTTATCTCTGGAGCTAAAGAAAGAATCGAATTTACAAAAATTAAAAAAAAACACATAAGTATCATTTGTTCTATTTTGCAACATCAGTTAATATAATTTCTTAATTTCTTTATTAGGGCAATCTGTTGTTCTAGGCCCCCCTCTTGCCCAAGGTCTAAGGCTTTGTACTTTATGTGTATGGGTGTTTTGTCTGCATGCATGCCTGTGTATTGCATTGGTGCCTATTGTCCCCCCTGGGAGTAGTCTGAAAATGATACCAGATCCATGGTAACTGGAGATGGTTCTGAGCCACCACGTGGGTGCTGGGGATGGAACCTGAGTCCCCTGAAAGAACAGCCTCTCCTCTGAACCACTGAGCCATCTCTTCAGTCTTGAGGGGACTTTGAGCATTTTGAATTTTTTTCAGTTGGTGAGAATGTCAAATGCGTACAGAGAAATACTACAGTGAATCTGCTTATCCGTGTCCACCATCAACAATATGACTCGAGTATATGATATCTTCAGCAATGTCTTTGTCAAGTCTGGACGGTAACTAACTACATTGCCAGTGTTCTGTAGGGTTTGGGGCAGGGGTTCTTTCTTTTTCTTTCTCTCTTCCTTCCTTCCCTCCTTCCCTCCTTCCCTCCTTCCCTCCCTCCCTCCCTCCCTCCCTCCCTCCCTCTCTCCCTCCTTTCCTCCCTTCCTCCCTTTCTTTTTTTGTCTTTTGTTTTTTGTTTTTTTGAGACAGGGTTTCTCTGTGTAGTTTTGAAGCCTGTCCTAAAACTCACTCTGTAGACCAAGCTGTCCTCGAACTCACAGAGATCCACCTGCCTCTGCCTCCCGAGTGCTGGGTTTAAAGACATGCACCACCACTGCCTGGTGGGGATGTGGTTCTAAGCAACCCCAGTGACCAACAACTCCAAAATCATTAACCCATTCCCAGTACTGAGCTTTTTATTTGGTAATGTGAGACATTAGTATATTGCTATCTCATTATAGAGTAACCATGGAAACTTCTACAGTGGGCTTTCAGAAGGCCTCTACTGTTAGTTTTCCCGTCCACTTGCCCGCCTCTGCTGTCTTCCGATTCCCCATGCCATCTAATCCTTCCTGATCGTTTCTTCCTATGTAACACTGTCTCCTATTTCCCTTGACATGAAAGGCCATCTCCTCCAACTATGATCCCTTATTTTGTACCTAACCTCGAGCATTCTAAATACCCAGAGACCACAGTGAAAACTTAAAAGCTAACATCGACAAACGAGAAAAGAATCTGCTGTTTCTGACGTCTACTTACCTCAATCAGGTTGATTGTTTTTAATTCTGTCCATTTACCTGCACGTTCCATGCTTTTATCTTCTTAACAGCTGGATACTATTGCGTTATTTAAATGTCCCGCATTTTCATTGCTAACTCATCAGTTAATGGAAATCTAGCCTGCTTTTACTTCCTAGCTACTGTGACGACCGAGCAGTGAGTACGAAAGAGAAAGTGTAGGTGGATGTGTGGTAGCTCTCCCGTCAGCTCTGTAGAAACTTCCACACTGGTCGTGATGGTGCCCATTCCAGTTAGTACTTTGAGTTACTTTTCTGTTGCTTTGGCAAAACACCACGACCCAGGCAACTTACTAAAGAAAGCTTTGAATTGGCCTTATGGTTTCAGAGGGTTGGAGTCTCTGATGGCAGAGCAAAGGCACAGTGGCAGGGACAGCTGACACCCCACATCTCAGGAGACAGGGAGGAGCACACAGGGAATAGTATGAGTCTTCTGAAATCTCAAAACCCTTGTCCAGTGGTGTACTTCTAATGAGGCCGCACCCTCCCGAGCTGTGCCACTACCTTGGGGACCCCAGTACTCAAACCTGAGCACATGGACCCCATTCTCGTGGAAGCCACTGCACGCCACTCTACTACATCCTAACCAGCGTGCTGTCATTTTTATTTATTTATTTATTTTTTATTTTGGCCATTTTGATTGAGGCGAGATGAAATCTCAAAGTGGGTTTAATTTGTATTTCCCAGATAGCAAAGGGTCTTGAACATCTAAGAAGCATTTCTTAGTGTTTCATCCTTCGACAACTCTCGATGTAGTTCCATACCCTATTTTTCAATTTGTATATTTGTTCTCTTTATGTTTAAGGATTTTGTGAGTTCTTTGCATAGTCTATATACCAGCTCTCGGTCAGACTGTTCCCTTAGGTATATTATTTGTTGTATAGGAACTTTTTAATTTTACATGACTTGTGCTAGTTCCTGTTCAGCAAGCCCTTTCCTTACTTATAAGTTCAAGTGTAATCCATACTTTATCTTTAATCGGATTTAGCAGGCATTAGGTCTTATGCTGAGGTTTTTGATCCATTTAGAATTGTTTTTAGGATGATGGATATGAAGCCAGTTTCATTCTTCTACATAGACATATCCAGCCGGACCAGCACCGTTTGTTAGAAAGTCTGTATTTTCTTAAATGTGTATTGCTGACCTCTTTGTAAAACAATCATCTGCGAGTGGTGCTTGGCCTTGTGTCTGAATCTTCAGTTCTATTTTATTCTTCAATGAATCTTTCTTTGTGGTGTTTTGTTACTTTATTTCTGTGTTATAATTTGAAATCAGAAATGAGGCTATCTCCAGCAGTTATTACTCATGATTATTTTAGCTATCCTGCTGATTTTGTGTTGGAATATGAAATCTAAGATTATTTTTTCAGTTTCTCTGAAGAATTGTGTTGGAATTTTGACGGGGATTGCATTGAATGTTTAGTTGGCTTTTGGTTGGATGGATGTTTTTACAATATGATTCATGTTCAGGAACTGATGTAGATGGATCCCTTGGGGTTAGACTTCCCATGATCTGTTGATCTCTGCATTCTGACCAGTTGTGGTTTTCTTTGATGGCATCCATTTACTGTAAAGAGAGGCTTCTTTGATGAGGGGTTGTTACTTCCACTATCTGTGGGTATAAGGATTATAGAGAGAGTAGGCAGAGTCAAGGAGACAGTATGTATCTGATGAAAGAGACAGACACTGGAAACTTACCAGTAGGCCACAGTCTTGAGATAGTACACAGATTAATAGAAATGGGTTTACTTAATATGTAAGAGCTACGTAGGAATAAGCCTAAGCAATTGGTCAAACAGTGTGGTAATTAATATAGTTTTGTATGATTATTCGGGTCTGGGTGGCTGGGAAACGAACGAGCAGTCTCCATTTACAAGGATAATATAAATTTAGAATGTACTAAGCAATTGTGCTAGTCTAGCAAAGTGACAGTAGTAAATTCTTTACTAAGGATTGTGATCAAACTAGTCCCAGGAAGGTGGTTAGGTTTCCAGTACCAGGAATGTCTTTTCCTTCTGCTGAGTGGGCCTTACGTCCAATTAGATGCCTGTTGGCTGCCACCATCAGGCGAGTGCAACTTTTCGCACCTTTATGTATACTTTGCCATGCTGGTAATTGTTGTGGTTTGTGGATGTTGCAGTGGGGTGGGATTGTTTAATTCTTTCTCTCCTTTGGCAGCTTGCATAGTAATTCTTGGAACAGAAGATAGATCACAGGAAAAAGGCTTTCATGTCAGCTCCAGCTCATATCATCTGAGTCCTACGTCCTATGTGTAAAGTGTCTTCAATGAAAAGCAGCCATCACTCAACTCCTGAGAGGCAACTATGGGCTACATCAGAGTTAGGTACAAAGAACTTTCTTTTGCATGCTTGGTCAGGACAATTCAAATGACTGAAAACAATACAGATTATTGATGTAGCCCAGATACAGAGGGGATAGAGCAAAGTCAGGGAGATGCCAGCAGCCACCAGGAAAACAAGATGTAAGGTAACAAGCCCCAAGCTTCATGGTAAAATAAAGATTAATAGAAATGGGTTAATTTCAGTTGTAAGAGCTAGTTAATAAAAAACCTGAGCTAATGGGTCAAACAGCTTTTAATTAATATTAAGTTTCAGAGTGGTTATTTGGAAACTCGTGGGTGGGCAAGAAACCTCCAGTTACAAAAAAATAAACAAACAAATGATCAATAAGACAAAAAAAATATATGCCCAAATAAAGCAACATGAAATAAAACGTCCACAAAAACATCACTGAGTTTGTTTTGTGTTCGTCAGCTACCCTGGGCATGAGGCCTGCCATGGAATATGGTTGGTAAATCTAGTGGGACTCTATTAAAGAAAATTGATCTTCCATTTTCCAGTAGGCACAAATTATAGATAGCCTCCTTGTTAGGGTAAGACTCCTTGTTCACTTTTCCCTCGCTGTATTGGGACCCCATCTGGCTTGAACCTCTGCCTGTCTGTGTCTGCGGTCACAGTCTCTGTCAGCTCATGTGTGTATCATCAGTCCTTTTGTGTTGGAAGATGCTGTTTCCCTGGTGTCATCCACAACATCTGGCTATTACAATTTTTCTGTCTCTTCTTCTATGCATGTACGTGAACTTTTAGAGGCTAGGTCTATGAAGACTTTCCATTAAGATTCTTTGAGTGCTCCAAAGTCTCTCACTCTCTGCTCACGGTATACTTGTGAATCTGTTTGCTAATTTCCATCTACTGCAAGAAGAAGCTTTTCCAACGTGGGCTGAACAAGGCACTGATCCATGGACACAACAATATGTCATTAGAAGCTATTTCATTGCTATGTTCCTTTATCAGAATATAGTAGTAGGTTTTACTGCTGACCCTTGGAACCTACCTAGTCTCATATTCTTGGTCAGTGATTTTATTATTGTCAGGTATGGGTTCAATCTCATGGAGTGGGGCTTAAATCCAATGAAAACATGGTTGGTTACTTCAATAACATTTGTGCCACTATTGCACCAGCATATCTGGCAGGCAGGTCAGTGTTGCAGGTTGCAGAGTTTGTAGCTGGATGATATTGATGCTCATTTCTCTTTTTCTATCATGTGGAGAGTATTTTACAGTATGATGAATGCTAGTCAGTAAGAATGAAGCTTCACAGTTAGGCACCAACATTTATTTCTCTATGTTTGCTGAAATAAGTAAAATTGTATCTTCAGCAATAGGACCTTACCATTAGGCTGTGGAAAGTAGCAAAAAGCCTTGGCAATAGCTTGTGATGTTTCGTTTGGGGGGCAGTCAATAAGGCCCCTTTTATTGAACAACTCAATAAGATGTAACCAATTTCTGGAACTGGAGGTTATTAGTTAGTGGCATAAAATGTCTAGTTGGGGAATTTCCTCCTCCATTAGATGGTATCTCCATTTAGATTTCTTTCATGTATGTATATATTTTAGAAAGATTCTATGGCAGTAGGTTTCCATATGGTTTTTCAGATGTTCTTTAGTGTTATTTGTCCCTCTCCATATTTCCTCCTTTACCATTATCTCCCACTACCTTAGGGTGAAAGGATGAAAAAAGGTATTCCAGGCAAATGGAATTAAGAAACAAACAAATATAGTTATTCTAATATCTGACAAAATAGACTTCAAATGAAAGCTAATCAGAAGAGATTAAAAATGACTCTATATTCATTAAAGAAAAAAACAACAGGATATTATAATCCTAAATATATATGCATCTAAGCTAAGAGCATCTGATTTCATAAAAGAAACACTATTAGACTTAAAACTATAGACAATGTGTGATTTGAATACCCCACTAGAAAAACTAAACGCATATAGAAAAAAACTGAACTCAAAAATGTTGACCGAGGTTTCTGTCCTGCCTGGTCCTAAAGCCTTTTAGCCCCAAAGAAACACACAGAGGTCTACATTAACTATAAACTGACTGGCCTATTAGATCAGGCTTCTTATAGCTCTTATAACTTATATTAGCCCATAATTCTTGTCTTTGTTAGTCACATGGCTGGATACCTTTTTCATCAGTGAGGCTTTCTTATCTTGCTTGTTCTGTGTCTGGGTGACAACTGCAGACTGCGCTTTCCTCTCCCAGAATTCTCCTGTTCTCATTGCCCTGCCTCTACTTCCTGCCTGGTTGCTCTGCCTATACTTCCTGGCCAATCAGTGTTTATTTAAAATACAAGTGACAGGGTACAGATCATTGTCCCACAGCACAAATCTCTGGAGTTAAATGGCAGCATAAACCATATGTGCCTAAGAGATATCTACAGAACATCACACTCTTCCATGAAAGAATTTTCACAAAATGCCTTGATTTGGACACAAAACAAGCCTCTAAAATGCAAATAACTTAAAATCACATCCTATATTCTGTGCACTGTAGGTTAAAGCTAGATATCAACAGTAACTACAAGAATGACAGAAAGCTTGCAAACTTATAGGAGCTAAACAGCATACCATTGAATCAAAATTGGGTGAGGGAAAGAATCAAGAAAGAAATTTAAAATAGAGCATAGTAAAATATATAACACAATGAAGGCAGTCATTGGAAGGAAGTTCGTAGCCCCATGTATCCATATCAAAAACACAAGATATGAATCAATCACTTAAAAATGCATTGGAAGGTCTCAGAAAAGAGTAACCAATGACAGAAAAGTACAGAGGAATAGGTAATTAGAATTGGATTAGTATTGAAATGAAAAAAGTAGAAAGGAAATATAATACAAAGAATCAATGAAACCAGTAGCCAACACTTTGAAAAAAATTAAAATAATTGACAAACCTCTAACCAAATTAATCAAAAGAAAGATATTATTCAAATTACTAAAACGAGAGATGGAAAAAGGAGACTTTACAAAGATACCTAGAAATTCAATGTCCTGATGGGAGCTCCGATAGTTTTAGGTGCCAAGTGATTTTTTTTTTCATAAGGAGCCTACTTGCACAAGTTTCTCTTCTCTGCAGCCTTCCTGGACAGATCATCCATGTTTCTGGCATTTCCAGCATCCTGGGGTTACTACTGTGGCTGAGACTTCATGTTTACAGTTTCATGTATTTCTTTCCCCTGGAAAGAAATTTCTCTCCTAGGAATCAGACCATGTTATCCCGACGTCCTTTAAAACCTCTGTGGAAGCCTCCACAATTCTGTAACCTATATACTATGTGTGCTTGGAAAACATAAGTAGAAGGCTAGTTGGCTCTGAGGTCTGTCCATGACTTGAGCAATAGTCAAGTCCTTTTAAACAATGGCTGCAGAAGCTTCTAAGAGTGATGGTGCTTGAATCTAGAAAAACAGTTCCGTAGGCAGCACGGATTCAGTAACTCATTCTCTCCTTAATGGAAAGTCTTTTTTTTTTTTTTTGGTTTTTTTCGAGACAGGGTTTCTCTGTGGTTTTGGAGCCTGTCCTGGAACTAGCACTTGTAGACCAGGCTGGTCTCGAACTCACAGAGATCCGCCTGCCTCTGCCTCCCGAGTGCTGGGATTAAAGGCGTGCGCCACCACCGCCCGGCCTGGAAAGTCTTTTAAATAATTTTTAGTTTTATACTTTGAATTGTGTGCTTTTAAAAATTATTTTCCTAAAAGAAGTTTGAAATGTGGTGTTCCTATTTTAATTATTTCTGTTTTATCACCTAGATTTTGTACATATTGTCCAATTGCTCATAAAATCTTATCTTCTGAGAGCCTTTTTACACACTTTTATGACTGTCTATTTTATTACGCTCCAGAGAGCTGTGCTTTTGAAAAAACTTTTTTAAAAAAATGTGGGCCAGTGATATGGCTTAGGGAGTAATGAGGCTTGCTGCTAAGCCCAGTAGCCTGCATTCAATCCCTAGGATTCTGATGGTGGAGAGCGAGAGCCAATTCCTGTGTGTCCTTTGACCTTCACATGCATGTTGTTTCAGGGACATATACGCTCTCTATGCACTTTAGTAGGAAGGCCGCTCGTTGGGTCCTGGCTGCTCAGTCCTGAAATAATCACACAGAAACTATATTATTTAAAACACTGCTTGGCCCATTAGCTCTAGCTTCTTATTGGCTAACTCTTACATACCAATTTAACCCATTTCTATTAATCTGTGTATTGCCACGAGGCTGTGCCTTACTGGGAAAAGTTCTGGCATCTATCTCTGGCGGGGCTACATGGCTTCTCACTGACTCTACCTCCTTTCTCCCAGCATTCAGTTTTCCACACCTAGCTCTGTTCCCCTATAGTTTTGCTATAGGCCTAAAGCAGTTCCTTTATTAACCAATGATATTCACAGCATACAGAGGAGAATCCCACATCAACACACAATAAAAATGTAGTAAAAATTTTAAATGCTTTTTCATGATAGCATAGTGGAAACATAGTTCTAATTGACTACTATTAAGGTAAGTATTTTTATGTGTTTGTTAATAGTTGTTGACACATTTGATTTATCATTTCACTCTTGGTTCCCTCAGATTGTAGGATGTTGTATCTGAACTATACCTGACTAGTCATCTGCTCCCTTGTCCTTCAGATGTTTTCTTTTTTTTTTTTAAAAAAAAATTAAGAGTACTCTTCATTTTGCAGATGGAATTTTATAGTCTCTAAAAATAAAAATACAATGACTTTTGTGTGTGTGTGTGTGTGTGTGTGTGTGTGTGTGAGAGAGAGAGAGAGAGAGAGAGAGAGAGGTTCCCATATGCTGTTTACTTTCCCTCTACCCACGAGAAAAACTGTGGAACCGTTTTCAAAAACATCCATTTGCCAATAGTATGCTTTTTTCTTTAAAGCTTTTTATTGATTCTTTGTGGATTTCACATCATGCATCTTGAACCCCCTCATCTCTCCGTCCTCTCGCTCTGCCCTCTGCCCTTGCCACCTCTCCGCAAAACA